TGTTTTGTGAAACCTCAAGCACTTTGATTCTATCATTGTGAATACAATTTTTTTCAAGGTCATCTTTTCATGAAAATTTGAATAAGCCCATGGCGAGTATGAGCTATCTGCTGCGCATAAAGTCACAATTAAATACTCAATAGCATCATCTCATCTGTCTACTGAAGTAAAAGGGCAGGAAATAATCAGAACGTGTCAATTGGCCTATCGTTCAGATGGGAATCGTTCACAGTTATCACCTCATTAGAGGTTTTAAATTTTAGCCGTCGTCCTAAAAGAAAGCCTTTACCTCCTCTCAACTATTAACGAGCGCGCTTGATGAACTGATTTGTTGTTACGGTTAAAATTGACTTATGCTATCCATCATGTTGTAAAATGTAGAACAGCTCCCAGAGAGTTTGGCTTTTTGCCAGCAGCTCCCAAACCAAGTGATGCTGGGTTCCAGCTGCTTATGAGACCTGGTTTTGGGGCCAGATCATAGCTGGCAAACAGTTTAGGTGTACTACCCAGTACCCACTCAACACAATATATTAATATATTTATTTATAGTGATGTTTACAATGATGAGCCATTCCTATATGTAATGTAAGGTGCTTCTTGCGTTTTACACAAGACTATAGGAAACTACTGGGTTTATTCATAATGTGGTTTAAGCTCTGAGAAAGATTTCCACTACTACTGTTAGCCTGACAATCAGTGAGTATCTCTGCTTCTTTTCACTTGTTTAGTCTGACATCGTCTTTAGGTTTCTGTTTTTCAGGCATAGAGAACAATCCATAGTGGGGAACAAGAGACGGCAAGAGACGACGCTCACTCAAGCATATCCATGAATTGTTCAGGCAATAATTAGCATGATTCACCATGCAAGTCTTGCTGAGAAATTCCGATAAATTAAACTTTAATACAAAAAACTTTCAAATCATAAATCTAATGAGATTTTGAAATTGCTGGCATTAAAGGAGAAGCGCCTTCATTAATTTTGTGCTCAACAACAACAACAATAACTCGACTGGCTAGGCTGCGAGTCCTTTACAAGGTGCGAGGCTCCACGAGGCCACCAGATTCAAACCCAGGACCTTAATGCTGTGAGGCAACAGCACTAATTAGTGTACCAATACTCTACCCAATTCCTGCTCAGTGGTGGGTCTGCTCTAATGAAAGGTGCAGACAGCATATAGATTTATTTGTTGTTGGCAGTTCTGTTGTGTTGACACTTTTTTTTGTGCACTGGTAAATAAAAGAAATAAAGATTTTAAGATAGTGATGTAATCCACTAACTTTCATCTGTAACATCTCACCAAAGAAGTAAATAAGGATGTTTACAAACTTAAGTGTCTCAAATGAGCAATACTCTTGCCTGAACACACATGTACTCAAACAAACAAACACATGCACACAAGGACACACTGCAAGTGGTTGAACCAATTCCAAAGAGTGTTTCCTGCTTCTCCCAGCTCCTTCCTTACCCTGATCACTTCCTGCTCTAAGCTGCACCGCAGTGGCTTTGGCATACTCTCCAGAAAAGTGTCACATATTCCTTCTACACAGACACTTTTAAGTGTGGTAACAACCCACTCAAATTCACAACTGTGTCTTGCCGGGTGAAAAGCTATACTGTCACATGCCAACACAGGGTTGCTCAGCTCATCACTTCAGAGGTGATGTTTCACTTCAATTGTGAGTAAGCTTCTAGTGATGCAATCAGCACGTGTAAACAGTTATAAGAACCTTTTCACCTAAATTCTGCAATAGCTGAGTGATGTTTGTCAGAGCATGTGAATTTTACTTTAAATTATAGCCGGCAGGCCTCTGAGATCTTTATGTAAATCACCAATACCTGAAAAAAACAGCTTTTGGGTTAACTTTCACAGGGACTTGGGAAGTTATCTAATATTTATACCCCCTCTAATTGCATGCCATAATTACAACCTTGGCCTTAAGAAAGGTTTCTGAATAAATTGAATTAATTTGGCAGCCATAAGTTGTGCCTGCATGCTGATTCACTTTGCCCCACCTCTAGAGAGAAATAAGATTAAATACACCAATAATACATTTAAATAGGATAGAAATGTGTCATGAGGAAAAAAGAAGGAAATCTTAAGCTAGGCAGAACAAAGAAAATGTTTGGAATTTGGAAAAGGTGCAGCTCACCAAAAACATCCTATCTATCTCATCTCTGCAGGTCCAAATGTTTCCTTATCATCTCTGCATGTCAGCCTCTCCTTCTTTTCCTCTTCCTCTTGACTGCTCACACACACTCTAAGTACGAGGCTGCTGATCCTGCTGTCCCACTGTGGTCTTCCAACATGCAGTGGGGTCACAGATGATTAAAGCAGTGGCAGGTGGACTCCACTTTGAAACTATCAATAGACCCCCGGGAACTGAATCAAACAGCAAGCGCTCCATCTCTGTCAGCCTAGGTTCTTGGTGGCACCAAGGGAAAGGGTGTGCAGAGGGTGAGAGGGCAGACTCCACCTCTGTATCCTCGTCAAACACTGTAGCACTCTGCTGAAAAACTGTGGAGCTGCTATGGTGGAATTCTAACTCTCTGATGTGATTTCAAGGAGGCTTTGTCTATTCACTGAGCTGACCCTGGAGCCTTTGACCAGGGGCGGCTGAGGCTGGGGTTTGCAAGAGTAGCAGTCTGCATTTTTTTTATATAGATCAACTTGAATAGCAGTCTGCCTAGATTAAAGGTCCCAGTACTTCACCGACATTGTGCAATCAGAAATTACAACTATATCAAATTCACATGGTCAGTCTATCTACCTACCTATCTATCTATCTATGTATGCCTCAAATCAAAATGAAGCGGGGCAGTCATGTGACTGTCAGGGTGGTATAGTAGTATTTCCAGGAGGAATGATTTAATGGAAATGTCAAGAGCAGCAGTAGCTGGAAGCAAAGGCTGAACCCTCTGATACAGCGTGAGACACTTTACTCACTGGGGTTGAGAGACTTGTTGTCATGCAGCTCCAGTCCTAACCAAAATCTGCCTTTATCAGAACAGAAATGGCATTGTCACTTTTTAATGGGATTACAGGTCTTTCATTGCATATCAATTTGCAAGAAATCAATATGGGCTTTGGTGCTATTTGGGGGCATTTAAAACACATAACTGCTTAGCTTACATTCTACAAAACCAGGGACAAGCAGGGAAATGAAGGGTAGGAATAAGACTTCTATTCAGATTTCTGGAAGAAAAAAAAAAGAGGCGGGAGGAAAGGGAACAAAGAAGGAATGAAGGTCAAGTAGATGCCTTGAAAATACAAGAAAAAATTGTAAATTAGATGGATGAATGGATGATGAATATAAGAACGGAAGAAAGGAAGGTCATCTGCATCCATAGATATGAGAAGGAAAGGACAGAAAACGCCAACAGCCAAAACTGGAAAGCCCTCAGCTTTCAAAAACGCAATAATTATTACCTATTATAGCAAACAACTTCAACGCAGAGCTTTGATATGTCACATATTTGAAAAATATTTTGCTCTTATTGAAAATCCACTTATACAGCCGGTCAGTTTGCCTAAAGGGCGCAAGAGCCGCCCAGAGTACTCAAGATTCATGCGAGTCGCAAAAACGGTGAAAATGTTTAATCGGAGAAAAGATTATCAGAGAAATATGGATATTTGCATTTCTTATTAAACTTACAACAGAAAAAGACCGTTTTTCACTTCGTGCCTCTGAATGTGCATAGTAATTTTGCAGCTGGTAGAAATATGAACTAAGAATAAGTGCGAGACTTATTGATTCTGATTGCTTTAGAAGTTTTTAAACGGTTCCAGCGTCGACGTGAGATGTGGACTGCTCAATTACTGTGGTGACCTTCAGCTGGGCGCGGTTGTTCTTATCGTGCAATCGCCACCAGTTGGCATTACAACACAATTAAAATGCGTATTCAAAGCGACCTGTCACCGTGGTTGTTTGCCGTGCTGCTTGGCACCCTGTAGTGGAGCGGGTGACATCTGTGACTCCGCGCCAAGGGAGCCCGCCAGACGCACCTAACTGTAGTTATTCTTTTAGCTCTGCCCGCAAAATTCAACGAATAATTACAGCACGAACTCCGACCGGAGGAGTTTTTTTTTTCACTTATCTGTTTTACAAGCGCAGTTATTTCCCCACATTGTAACATGTACAGGTAAGATCTTTTTTCCCCTTTATTTATTTTCTGATCGCATTAAAACCCGAGGCGGTGTTGTTGTAGTAGCAATCAATGTGTCAGACAATCGGGCGGTTATTGGTGCATAGATGAATAACCTATATTATATTTTTAGAGGACGGGGGGTCCTTCACTTATTTCTTCTGAGCTCGTGTTCTCAAAACTCCGCAGGCTGCATTCTAATTGTGCTGTACTTGAAATTTTCGCCCCGAAGAGTCGCAGCTGTCAAGTTTCGGGGGGTTTTACTCTTCACGTGCAGCCCTTCCTTTTCATGGTTCGTGCGATGTGATAATGAAACCGCAGTGAGTTTTGCTGATGATGAGATCTGTGCGGCAATAGGGTTAGATTCAGAACTGTTATACAGTAAATCTAGGTGGACATCATTATTGTGTGTGCGCGTGTGTTTGTATGTGTGCGCAGTGCAGCTGAGGTTTCGAAATATCATTAGCGCATTTACAGTTACAGCTGGCTTCAAATGAGTTGGAAGCTTATGTAGAAACCGATGTAGTCCGTTGCAAGAGATCATGGAGCAACTTTATGAATATTATTCAACTTCAAGACTACAGCAAGTTTGTCTACTTTGAAATAATTTAATGTAGATTAAAAATAATCAAATGCTCAAATAATCTAGCATTTTTGAAAAGCGCATGTTTTACTGTGCCTGCTCTGATTACATTTAATTTGCGCGTAAAGGGGAACTGGCTGTAATATTCTGGTAAAACAACGACTGAAGTTGAGATTTACCAGCCAGTCAGTGTTATCTTTAGGACCCGGCGGAGCGCTCATATGTAACTGGACATAGTAGCTCCATTTGAGGAAGATTGCTTATCTCTTTCCTCCTCCGAGCACAATTCGGCTGGGCTGAGAAATCAGTCTAACCTATCCAAACGACCCCGAGAGTTGTTCTTCATCGGGATGTATTTTAATAGCCGTTGATGGACTTCATCGAATTTGGGACAACTGAAAATTACCTTAAAGGCTTCTGAAGTATTCTCGTGCGCCATTCGGATGAACGCTGCGCCAACCAGCGCTGCGTAAATCAAGGAGCCGCTTGTTTGGACACCCGTGAAGGCACAGTGGCATTTGTAAAAGGGGGAAGAAAAGCTCTGGTGATCGGGTCCCCGTGTTCATTATTCGGATGCAAAAGTTTAAAGAAAGTTGGGAGCAAGAGAGAACATCGTAGTCTCCAGGTCAGTTCCCGCTTTCTGCGCACACATCATTTTTATTGACCTATGTGGTGCAAAAAATAGAAGGAAATTAGAAAGAAAAGAGCCGGTCAGAGACCAATAAACGTCTTTCTGCAACTACCGGTGGCCTCAAAATAACTTGTTGAATGAGCAGATTGTGCCAGGAGCGTATTTAAATGTAAGTGTCATGTTTTGAGCATTCAGATGAGTTTGTACGTTTTAGTTATTTGTGTACTGTTGCTTCTGTGACCGGGATCGTCGTTACTAAATGGGCCGCCGTAATAGGGTAATTGCAGTAGGCTGTTTGTGGGAACGGTAACGTTTGCTAGGTGAGAAGTGGGTAACATAACCACGAGTTTTATATGAGATATATAAAAACTGTTGTGCATGTCCATAGTGTTTAATTGGCATCCTTCTTCAAAGAGTTTAAATGTATTCAGAAGGTTTTCTTCATTTAACAAGAAACTGAAATGTGTAGTCTGCACCTAAACCTAAACCCTTTCTTCAAGTCCGCCCCCAAAATTCTCGTTTAATAGTGGAAACAATGTCAGTTTAACCTGTTGCGCAGCAAGTCAGCAAAGTCAAATCTAGGTGTGCCATGTCTCTACGCAAAACTGGATTCAGAACATAAAAGAACAGCTTCTTTAAAATATGTCATTTTTTCAAGCTCTGTCAGATATTTGCATGTTCCATTTTGAAATCATTTAAAGACCAGAAAAATACTTTTTTTTTTAATTTAAAAAGACTTTTGCTCGAGGCTCTGTCTTTGAACATTACATGTGCTGAACAATAATTTCAAAAATTTGTTTTGATGCTGTGCGTTTTTGCATGTTAGTCGTCCTGGAGAAGAACTCTGAATAATACATGACAGCATGATTTCATATGTGATTGTAGTGAAGGCTGTCTGGCTGTGTCTGGGGCCATTACACTGTAACTACATCAACCACATCCTAGAGTGAGTCCTTAAATAACAAGTGACCTAACGTGGCTCCAGTTGGAGAGGTTAAAGGTGCAGCCCAGGGGCAATAATTGTATGTTTTATGTCAAGTGTTCATATTGGGAGAAGCTAAGAGACACAGTTGTAAACAGAGAGAGAGACAGAAAGAGATAGTTGAAGAGAAATAACAATTGAATGAAGGATCAAGACGGAAAGGAATGACAGTCAGAAGATAAATGTGTTACAGTACAGACATGCTTCTGCTTGCCAGTCGATCCCACTGTGACTCATATTGGGGGGTTTGTTCTTGGCTGTAAGAAATTTGGAAGCATTAACCCGTTTATTGTTGCACTCATCAGCCAGAAACAAAGCATTAGTCTGCTCAAACTGGCTATGGATCATAAGTTATTGGTTGGAATTCAACAAAATCAATGAACACAATAGGAGGTATTGTATGTGTGCACATCCAAAAGCCTGACTGATGCCCAGTACAAAAAAAAAAAAGAAAAGGCAAGACGGTAAAATAGCAATTGTCAGTAGAAAAACCACAAAGCGCAAATCAGACTGTCATGTTAGGGTCTTTTTTTTATTTCAAAATCAATACGAGTGTTATTTTGCAATCATTGATGTCAGTTGGTGCAGAGTATTGGAGTAGATCTGAGGTCCTGCCTTTCAGCACCATGGACAGCTCTCTTTCACGTTGGTTAGAAAATGAGAGCTAAGAGGGGATCAAAAAGCCACACTCAGAGACAGAGAGAAAAGCCACACTTAAGCGGGATTACTATAAAATGAATGGAATACATCCGTTATGGTTTTTAAGAGTCTGGCTGGGAGTTTGTAACCAATATAAGCCACGGGGCACGACTGCCTGCTGACTTTTAAAACACTCTGCTATGCTTGAGCTGCCCAGGGGATGGAATGCAAGTGGACACAAGGGGGTGTTTCAGAGGCTTCAAAAACAAGTAAAGGAAAAGAGATGAAGAGAGAGGGGAAGGGAGAGAGAGAGAGAGTGTGAGAGAGAGAAGGAGTGGGGGGGTGGTCATCCAAAGTTCTGAGCTTTCTCCCGGCATATGGAGGGCTACTCAAATATTAATAACTTCTAATATAGAATCTGACTCATATTTTTCTCAGTGAAATTATGACATTCACAGGTTTCTCCTTGCACTTTGAGTAGCACAGAATATGAGGTAGACATGCGATGACAGAGGAAACAAGTGTTCTTCTGCATTTAATTTTTTCAGTGTAATCATTTTGATGCAAAATATACAGTGCTGCCAATTATTGCAATGTGTTCCCATGTGCAGCCAAAGCAGCTCTGGTCCATCGGGGCACTGACATTTCTATGGTGTCCTACAGTGTCAGGCTAGAGTACATTGTCAGCTGGTATTATGGTCCTCTATGGAGCTGCCTTGTTTTGGTGCCTCCTATGGATGCTTAATCAATTTGGGATTTGTGGAGACTGGAGGTCAACACACAGAACGCGTTTTCTTGAGAAATGTCCCAAGTGTTAAACAGGTTTTCACGTCAGTGGTTTTAATGTTGTGGCTGATGGTGTTGCTGTATAGCCCAATATGCAAACACTACAGCACGGAGGCATATTATTAATGCAGTACAAATTGCTGTGGCTATCACAAATGTCACCTCTCTTGGTCATGTTTCATTGAAAAGCAGTTGAATTTACTTCATAAATTGTGTGGGAACGCTTACTCGGAGCACTAATTTTCTCTTTTAGAGGAGTAAAGATTAAAAAAATTGCAATTCCTTTTTCCTACCTTAGCACCAATGAGCATACCTGTCTATGCCGATTTACTGAGCTACCTGATACCTGCCTTTCATCTGGATATAATTGCATTGCTCTAGATGTCTGTGAATTAAATCCAGTATCCCATGGTCAGGCCTATTTGTTGTCCCTTATTAGCTTTGAATGTTCCTAGCGATAAGTGACCTACACCACCCTGCTGCTGCTACCTAATTTGACTGTCTTATGAAAGCCAACCTCAGCATTATGAAAGGGGGTGTGGGACTTTGCAGTATCACGGTGTGTGTGTTGGTTTGCATGTCAATCGTAAGTGCTCCATCCCATGACGCACCTCCGATCAGACACTGACATTTATATTTATGAAATCTTATACACACATCCTGCGAAAGAAATTACTTAATCAACAATTACACTTCCAGGCATGTTTTAAAGACACTTTGCCGACTGATACGAGTGCATTTAAAGAAAAAGAATTCTACCTTTTCGCCTTTATTTCCTCTACTTTCTTTCTTTTTTAAACAACCATTCATCTATATCTTTTGTCATGGCCCACTTTGAAGGGTCTGAAAAGCAGCTCAGTAATTTCTCCGGCTCAGATGAATAACTTTCATTACATTTGGAATGTATTCAAGCCCATAGTCATTTTGTAAAAGGGGCATTAGGTTAGAAAAAGGAATGCAGTATTTCTAAGGAAGTCTGAAATGTGGTCTTAACTCCTTCAAATTGGCACCATTTTCAGTCCAAGACAAGATGACCAAATTAAAATATTGAATTCTAATACCTCCATATGCTAGCAGGCATCACGTAGTATGTGTTCGTGAACAGAGACATCGCTCATTAAAATGAGTTTCTCTTGATAAATATTGTTAAATTGCTTAATTGATTAATTTGATTTAATAACCTCAAATATGGTAATACTTTGTGTTGACACACCAAATTTTCTCACTCTTCTGAACATAAAACTCCCTCCACACGCTTCAAACCCCAGGTTACCTAAATAAATAAATAAATTTCAGCTGTAACTGTCAGTCACAGGGGGGGTGGCTGTAGCCTGAAGGGTAGAGAGGAAAGCTGCTGACCGTAAAGTTACGGGTTCAACTTCATGTACTGTATCAGCTGGAGGAATCAGAGCAGAGAAATTCAATGAGTAATGGTTCTGCCTCAACAAGTACTGCTGAACTCCCCTTGCACAATGCGTTTAACCTGCACTTAAGAGGATAACCATGCGCGTTTCTTAACATTGTGACCTGTGTGGGCAAAGGTTAGATTGAAATGTATTTTTTCTGTACAGCTATTCACAGCAACAAATACTTTTCACTAAGGCAAAAGCTCTGGCAAATTGACAGTCAACAGTAGCTTAACTCTTATTTAAAGTGATACTCAGTTGGAGGTGCTAGTGTATATGCTTGCTTCATTTAGTCCCTGCTACTGCACACACTTTTTACCTGAGTCACTGAGATGGTGCAGGTCTCCGCTGACTGCTGCCAGGCACCATTACCTGATGAGTCGGGCCATCTGACTGATGGCTTGCGATTGCTTTGAGAAATGTACAATCCCTCAAATAGGCTATTTCTGTCTTCCAATTTTACTTTAATATTTCCCAAATGCCTCTTAAGGTGCTGAGACAAATGCAACTCCACATTCGGCTATAAAGGAGCAAGAATCAGAAAAGGCAATAACTTAAATGTAGTGACTTGACACATGGAAATAAGTCTTTTTGCACAATGTATGAAAATCACATGGAGATTAGACTCTACAGAAGAAGCTCAATTTGAATTGTACACAGTGATTTTGAAAAGGTTATTATTGAGGGACCCATAAAAGCAGCAAAGCCATACATTACACTTGTGCACTTATTGCACATACGTGTGTCTTTGTGTCTGGGTTTGTGCATGTGTTGGAGTGGGTAGTAAGATGTAAGACTTCTCCACCTAGCTCCCTGCAAGCCATGTTAAAACTCATTTAATATTTTAATGTCGCATTTCAAATGTTTTGTAAATGTATCCAATCTTTTTAATTCATTAAGCTATCCTTTTCTTCTGTCCTTTAGGATGCTGCTGGTGCAAAAAAGTATACTTGGGGATCAAGCTCAGATATCTGCTGATTTATGAGGAGTGTCACTCCTCTGCACATCACATCTGACCGTTAGTTCACCTTTTCATCAACTACCAACACTAGCGAAGACACCCCCTTGTTGACACACCTCATCAGCCTGGCAGAAGCGGTGGCAATCAAAGACAAAATAACTGAATGGGGGCTAATAGTTGCCTGAAGCTCCTCACACAAAACTAGCAAGATGCTGCCACAGTTCCTAAATGCTCTATTGCTCCGTTCAAAGCTGCTGTTAAGTTAGAGTGCTATCGTCATTTCTGTGACTAAGCAAAAGACAAAAAAGAGAAAGAAAAGAAGAATCCTACAGAAACCATACTGAATGAGATCAGCGATGTTCTTGCCTGTGTTGTTCGCTCTGCAAGCTTTGTGCACCAGTGTGGGCCACGCTATGCAACATTACCCTGCGGTCTGGGGACACTATGACGTGTGCAAGTCCCAGATCTACACAGAGGAAGGCCTGGCATGGGACTACATGGCCTGTCAGCCCGAAGCCACTGACATGACAGAGTACCTGCGAGTGACCCTCGACCCTCCAAATATCACGTGTGGAGATCCGCCAGAAACATACTGCGCTTTGGTGAGTCGTAACCTCGGTTGTCCCCTGATGGAGACAAATGAGGCTGTAGGCAGGATCGCACAGCATACTGGGTCAGGGATAGAGAGCGGCGCATACAAGGCAATGAGCTGCCGCTGCAGCGGAGATTAATGTACATGTAGACCTGTGCATTAGGACAACAGCAGCAGCAACATACACACACATGCTGTTGTGCAAATCTTGGAGATGAATTTGGAGAGACTGGTAAATGTAAAAACAGACAGATGCACAAAACAACTGGAAACCGTTACATGCACAAACAATCTGTAAATATGTCCTTGCACAACTGATGCACAGGCATACACAAATCTGTATGTGTACATTAGATGTACACAAATTTGGAGCCATTTTTTTCCATATTCTGTTGAAATTCTCTTACAAATGTATTTTTTATTTAAGTTTTTGATGTCCTTCCAACTGTTGCCCTTTAGCGGTCATACAAAGGAAAGTTTTAGGATCGCTCTAATAAATATGTTTTAATATCAAATTATACTGGGGCAAAAATATTGTGAAAATGGATTTATTACTAAGTCTAAACAGACAAAGTACATGCAAATACATAAACAAACATCTATCTTTATAGCTGACTGAAGACTGACTGCATCTGTGCAGATGACTGCAGACACACACACACAGAGGCACTGACAGGGTAACTGCACTGGTGCTGGCACTGTTATTAAACAAAGAACAGTGAATGCAGCATTCAGCCCCCTTATCAACCTTCATCAACAGTTCAACCCCAGGTTGCATTTGTTTAGAATCACACTCAAAGTAAGCTGTAAGAGCCCATAGGCTTTAAAGTGCTTCATTAGACGTTATGTTCATGCCTGCCAAGAGCTCGTGCGAGTAAATATTTACCAATTAAAATGGGCATCTTTAAAAGGAGGGCTTTTCTTCTCACAGCTCCAGATGGCATTGAGACATTTAATGCCACTGTAGGATGAAAAAGGAGCTAGTCTCCAGTCGGGTGTGACGTTCTGGTAAGCTTTTTTTTTTTTTTCTATCAAAACACAAACTGAAACCTTTATCAGACCAGTAGATTATCCTGAATGTTCAACATTTACATAACACGGGGCGCATAAAGAACAGAACAGAGACAAACAGAGTCAACGTGGTTGGAATACTTTGTATGTTTGTTTGATTTTTCTTGTCAATACAGAATTTGTTCATAGAAAAGATGTCTTATATTTCTTTGCCATGTCATTTTTTATGCATACTCAGCTTATGTATAATTTAGAAACACTTGTGTTTTATATTTCTTTTGTTGTAATCTATTTTTATTTTTATTATTTATTGATTTTTATTAAAATATTAATAGCACATGAAATCTCTATCTATTTTGATGTTGGCAAAATACAGAACTAACAAAATATATTGTGGATCAGTTTTCTCCACAGATGTTATGATACACAGGGACAAACTAAAAACAATTTTAAGTAAAATAGTTTCAGTTCAATTTTATTGAGTTGTATTTATATATGGACAAATCGCCACAGCAGTTGCCTCGAGGCACTTTATATTGTAAGGCAAAGAGCCTACAATAATACAAAGACGACAGAGAAAACCCAGACAAACATATGATCCCTTATGAGCAAGCACCTTGGTGACAGTGGCAAGGAAAAACTCCCTTTTAACAGGAAGAAACCTCCGGTTGGGGGTGAAGGGGAAGAAGGCAGGACAAAGACATGCTATGGAAAAGATCCAGAGATTAATAAGAACTAATAATAAATACTTCAGTCTGAAATCAGTCTGTCAAGTGAGTCCAGCACTTAAATTCAGACTGAAATATGTCCGTATTTACAAGCAAATCTGTATGTACGACCCCGTTCACAAGATGGATGGTATCAAATTTTTTGAACAAGCATTCATAGTTCGCATATGATATCATAAAGATTTTGGTGGAATTTACATGTTTCACAGGACTTTTATAATATTTGGTTCTGACTTTGCTACAAAATTTCAGTTCCCCCTTGAGATGCTTTACATAATTTTTTCTATGCGGAACACTTTATTTACAACAGATTACACTGCTAAACAAATGACATCAGCAAAACTTGCTGTTTCGCTTAGGAAGTGCCTAAGAAAACATAATGTCATGTTGAAAATAATCAAACTTCGAGGATTTTCCTTCGCTGGATGATTGCATGTGCGTAAAGACACAAGTAGACTGTGTTCAGCCACCAAATGAAATAAATTGAAAAGATTAGCTGAGGACAAACCATATTGATCTGTTGTGAGACTTTTCTGCCTCATTGGTAGGACAGAACAGTCCCATTAGTGTAAATTCCAGCTGTATGGTAACTCTCAACTATTCTTGCTTCTGGCTAGAATGCCTTTCACCTCTGACATGAATTTGGGGTCATGATTATCTAGATCATCAAGAACACAGACTCCTTCTGGAAACACTTAAATGCCTGTTGTGTGTTTGATCTGTTTACATGCAGACTGACACCAGTGACCTTATCCACCAGTGCTTCCTGAGACTTTGTTGAAGATGAGAGGAGCATGCAAATCAGCTCTTTCAGCCAATCACTAAGTTGCCTGTTGTTGTGAGCCGGCTCTAATCAGTTTTTCCCAGGAGTTGGTTTTCCTCATAGTGGATGGTCAAAGAATCCTCAATGTCTTGGCCCCCATCCCTTTCTCCATGTGTTTATGATTCCCATTTCCTATTTCGATTGCTGCTCAAAGAAGATTTTATGCATATGAAAGGTTCATTAATCATTCAATTGTGTTGTGGTTTTGCTAAAATGACAAAGATACAACCTTTTGAATTAGAGACTCAATATTCAATAATGAGACTCCAGGATATACAGGGTGTAGGAGATGTGTTCTGCATCAAGGAGTTAGCCTTGTTTATATTTTTAGCTGCAGACCTTCAGGGGTTCTTCAGAATGTGTTGGTATTAAGCCTGTTCTCCTACGGTGTGCTATGGCGCTGTCACTCAGTAGCACTCAACACTGGTATTTTTTACTGTACAGGTTGTGTGAAAGGAAGGAAACAATAAAATTGTAATATTCTGTATTAATACAAATGATCCAATTAAATGTATTTAAAAAATTGCTGGCCAAATGATAATTATACTATTGTACCACTTGGGCATTAATGAAAATTAGCTGTTAAAACAGAGAAACTAAATAAGTGTTTTCAATTACACACCTTTTTTCTGTCTCTAAAAGCCATATTAGGCTGGCTTGTGGGGATCTGATAGTAATTCACTAAAGTAGCAAACCACTGGATCAAATGCAGCGAGAAATGAGGTTTAATGTTCAAGCATTTCATAGATAGACTTAATTTTTTGTAGTTCAAGTGCATGAGCATGGATATGTTTACTCCACAAAGCATAAATTAGTATCAGGAAGATGGATCTGGATATACTGGATAAATAAATTCTCTTTTGCTGAATAGACCACCCTGTCAAGCATTTCCCTCTGAAGCTGCCATAGTGTAGTAGTGTCTGGATTGTACCTTTCTGATTAGAGAACCCAGTGGTTTGGTGATTTGAAACGTGGCAGAAGATGAGAGATACTCTGTGCTTCCACAACATCTAGGGATCTGGCAGTTAATCTAAACGAATGAATGTGAGCTCTGAGTTAGGTGTCATCTGCCCACATGCTCTACGCTATCTTGAGCCATGCTGGTTCAACCACATCAAGTTGGCAATTGTGTAAACATTTCTGAGAGTGATTCAGTAATCGTGCTTATGCCAGCTACTCTGGGTCTAACTGGGTATATTCTTGTAATTCCTCTGAACTTTATTCAGCTCTCTCAGAATGGATGAAAGAAGTTGTGGCTGCCAGTTTGCCACACGGCCCCCTTTGGAGGCTTAGTAAGGAGAGACGAGACGAGAGCTCCGAGTAAGCTGCTTGGAGACTGCCACATTATTGACAGTCAATGCAGTAGACTTATCTTTGCTGGCAATGACAGCAGTCATTGTGAAATTTCAGTCTGTGTCTTACATGCACACAGAATTGGCGTAATAGACTTTAAAAAGACAATTAGATTATGGGGGAGAAAAGGGGACGTAACCTTTGATACGTACATTGGATGTGAGGCCAATGACAGATATGGTGAATCTGTAAAATGGCTTTTTTCTCATGGCATGTAGGGGCCAGTTCTGTGGTTTCATGAATCAATGAAGACCTATTCTATGAGAAAGTCAAACTACATCTCACTCTGTGACTTTGGTAAATATTCCCCCTTATTTGCCAGCTTCCAGTTATTTTCAATAGATCATGGTGTGCATTTATTAGATTGCAGTGAAACATCTTGCTTGTCAAGTTCAAGTTTCAAAATACAAAATGCTCAGCTGTTAACAAAGCATATATCATGTGTGTTTTTAGGCCTGAGTTGGTGAAATATTTGGTTGTGCAGAGCTTGTAATTAGGGCTAAAACTTGGTAAAGTAAAAAGCATTAGGTCTTCAATGTCAAGTCTGCACTGATGTTTGGATTAATCTGTAACAAAAAGACCTGAAGCACACATCAGTGCAAGTCCAGTGATCCTTATTTTCAGCATCTTTCGTGCTTTTTTTAGAGCAGCTTTCCAGCTACCTTCTTCACTCAACACTTCATACACCACTCCCGTCAGGTCCCTACAACCTACTAAAACAGGGAAGGCTTGACCAGGTGATGAAGAACAGCGGTGTGGGTCAGCCTCCTATGCCACCACACCCTGAACCAACTGCTCCACCCCTCCCCTTCAGCTGTGCCACAAACCACACCCCACCACATAATCACGCTCACACTTTTCCATCAATCTAGTACCAACTGCAAGGCAGAAAAGATTAGATTATATAAAATATGAGAATACATTGTAATTGTATTCTTATGGTTTTGACCAAAATCACTTTTTTACACTACTCCCAGTTATTTCAGTGAATAAAGAAGCAACATTATTCATTTTATTATTTTGTATAGTTTGTGATCAGCTGTAATCTCTCACTAGTCCAATTTTCTGAGATAAAATGAGGGTCATCAATAAGTG